ACATCCTCAGCAAGTTATGAAGATGTTTGGTGTATAGTGAGAAACTGTCTTTTTATCCTCACTTGTTTCTGGTGATGACTCTATGGGTCAAGTCGATGAGCGCCCGCCTCGATCTTTTGACATCTTCGTCGTCTGTTTCAGGTAGAGACCCAATTGCTGCTGCTGCAAGATTCGCATGTTCTATAGCTAACTCTCTTGTCCTTTGTATTCCATTGCTCTTCCCAAGATACTCTAAGGCCTGATTTGTTTTTATGGGTTATAACATAAGAGACTTTTTAAAATGTATTAGAGATTTGTTTCTTTATAACTTACAATGTCAACATTGGTTGGATCATTGTCAAGTTGATCAACAACTTTGCGTAGTTGAGGAAACTCCTCCATGGCAAAGAGGATTGGAGCCGTTATGATTCCATGGCGGATATCCGATAAGGATCCCTTTCCCAGAGAGGCAGATGTGCCTGTGAAATCAAGAACGTCGTCTATTAACTGGAATGCTAAACCCTGCAAAATGGAAACTAATCAGAGATTTGGAAGAAATTTAGTTGCGATGGAGATAACAATTTTCAGAAGATGGTACAACGAACCAGATTCTTCCCGTATTCAAAAGCTAACATAGCAACTTCTGCTGTTTGTCCAGCAAGTAAGGCAATCGCTTTGCAGCTATTTGAGATTAACGATGCCGTCTTATAATATGTCTTCTGCATGTAGTAGTCCATACTACAGCCATGAAAGAAAAACAAAATCATCTTTGCATGAACAGTCACTATTTTATGATATCGATTTACTAGGAAATGCTATATTCGGGTTATGAATAGGGAAAATGACCACTTGTTTTGACTCTCAAACAGATTGGCAGCATTGGCATAGAAGACTCGAATAGTCTTTTTGGGGCTATATATGACCGGAGAAGAAGATATTTACCTATGCCGCTGCTCAGTTGTACTAGTCATTTGCATGGTTTCACCGGTAACAAGATGTTCTACAACAGTTGCAAGTAATGATACAACCTACAAAAGAGAGAAACAATGAAGATATATGGCTTGGAATAAGAGAGAATAAATTCTTAGGATTGACTTCATTGATTCTAAATTCTCTATCACGGCAGGTTTAAGATAGCCTATCAACCGCCATATCTGAAAAAAGTAGCGAGTTCTTGAACAAGTTTTCAGAATAGGAGGGGTAACTTTCTTAGGTTTTTTACCTCTGTGTTCTTTAGAGAAGCCAAAGCCACACAAGCCCGGGAGAGCAAGAAGTCTCCTGCTAATACCGATATCTACAAAGTGAAGTCAATGGTGATTTTAATAACTAAAACTAATTGCAGTAGATTTGACAAAAAAAAAGTGTGGTGTCTTAATTAACAAAAGATACTATCAAGTGCATACCTTGTTACCCATTACAAAGTTTAAGGAACCAACACCACGCCTTGTATCAGCATCATCCAAGACATCATCATGCAGGAGGCTTGCAACCTACAATGACCAAGCATTACTAATTGAGAAAAAAAAAGATATCGGAACTTTTATTTTGTAACAAATGTTGTGAGTAAACTTATAGTTACCGACATGTATCATTTCAGTGATTTCAGCAATGCCCCGTTGCCTTACACGTAACTCTGATGGGACTATATTTGCTGATTCAGCAGCCAATGCTTCTGGTACGCGTGCATTCAGAGCTGTCGCCATCAACAGCAAAATCTATAAACATAAAAAACCAGACCAGTTATGATCCCGAGAGAGAAAACGATTCAGAACATGATGACAAGATATTGAAAGAGATGATGGTCATTACCGTTGGACGAAACTGTTTTCCTTCCACACCCCTTTTGAAGAAGTACTCAGCTGCAGAGGCAAGCTTTGGAACCTGAACAGCAGAATACAAGGAAAGATATTTGCTTCAGAACATCAAATCCAGCAGCAAATATGCTTTCGCCGCTCTTTTATGAACACAATGAGTACAAATGAATGACAATAAAAGGCTACTTACCTCGGCAACTACCATTGCTCTCAGCTTATTACTAAGAAGTGACAACTCATCCGCAACAAGCGAAAACGGGTCAAGCTCCTCCTAGGAAAAGAAAATCTTACCCTTTCAGCAGTTGGAAAAGAAGATGTCGGAAATTTAAGCACTTGTGATTAAAATGAGGGAATAACAGTTGGGTTTTGACAGGTTTTTCTTATACAAGTGAAGCAATGTCGGAAATTTAAGTATTTGTGAAAGTTTAACAATAGAGGATCATGGTTTAAGCTCATAATGGACGATTCAAATGGAAACAATAAGTACGGGAGGTTGGTAAAAACCTCAACTAAGGAGCTGCTCTGATGATAGAGATGATGTCGAAAACCACCAAATGCAGGAGATTTCAATGAATAAGTTCCTCTGCAAACATAACCCTACTAAAACATCACAAAGAATACCAAATTGGTTAGGTCACCAATTCTCTATATAACATGAAAGTTTTAGATCAACTAATCCATTTCAATAATTTTCTTATCCTAAGTTCCCCTAATC